TGTGGTGCCTTCCTTCATAGGTAGAATTTCTGCTGAAATTGCTGACTTTGAGATACTTTCAATATTTTCCTTGTGAATGACGTATAGATGAGGCAGTCCCCTTCCTTTAAACTCCCCGGTTTAGAGCAGGGTTTCCCAACTTGCTGGCACCGCCATCTAAACTCTGGCTTCATGGACTATTCCACCACAGTAAATGGAGTAATCTGAGCTGACTAATCAACTAACTGGCATGCTAGTGCTCTCTGGCATTCCGAATGGCTTTATGGTCTCATGTTTTCCACACCAGGAACTCTTTTCACTGTTGTTTGACATATATGCATGCTGTCCCGAAATGGAAAAGCCAGTTCTCAACAAGTTGTCACACCCTGGAGTGGCCAAGGTATAGAACCCATGCTGGAGATGAGCAGGTGAAGGCAAGGGTATGTGGAGAGGAGCAGGTTCATTTCTTAATTACCAAGATCATTAAGGGCAGGAAGCAGGGTTAACTCAGGCCACATCTGTGCCTTCACATCTGGCACTCTTACACTGTTATGGGAGAGGGTGAAGAGATGCATTTTGGGGCACTGCTGTGGCAAGGGCTAGACCTTCCTCACAATGTGCTGACCTCACCTTCACCAACTACAGAAGTTGCAATGTGCAGAACTTCACAGGTTCCTTGCAACATACAACCAGTCATATGCATGCACACACATTTATTGAGTGTGAGCTGCACAGTACATCACTCACATCTGCTTCCAACTGTTGTTCATTTTGTTGTTTTAAGTCTTCCGATTGATAGGCACCATCAGGAGAAGAATCTTCTTAGCACATGCACAGCATGCGAATGCTCCAAACCTCTGTAATTCTCCATTCTTATTAACAGGTGAAGTTCTTGAATGAACTATCTTAGGTTTTTTCCTTTGTGACTTTTCAGGAAGCAAAATTTAAGGACAATAAATCACATTTTTCCAGCACTATCTCTTATTCAGCTTTAATTCTATTCAGAAGTTCACAAATTGTAATTGGGTTTGGTAGATACCCATTTTTTCCCACTAACTGGTGTAAAGTCAAGTTCCACCATGAGAAATAATTTTTATACTGTTACATTATTAATATGGATATTTAGTCTCTTTAAACTGAGAGCAAAGTCAGTTCTGGATTTCTTGAGTAATAAATGCATGAAATTGTTTAAGAATGTTAATTTGAGATTCTTCCCATTATTCCTCTGAAACATTTTTAAGTCTGCTCTTCATCCATCTTCCCACTAATTCTATCCAATGATAAAATTTTACATATTCTGATACAAAGAGCAAAATGAAGGAAAAGTAAGATGCCTTTCTGATCAGCAAGATGCAAATTTCAGTTTTCCAACCAATAGGCTTTATTACAAAAGCGAAGGCAGAATGGCAAGTTTTTCCAGAAATAATCATTCCAGAACACAAGATTAGTAACTTTTTTGTGGAATAGCGTTTCACAGGCTATGAGCCACCTTCTCCATCTGGTGTCCTCCAGATAGGTTGGACCATAACTTCCTCATCTCTAAGCAGAAGAGGCCATGCTAGAGATGGTAGGATTTGTAGTCCAACATATCGGGAAAGCACCAGGTTTGGAAAGGGTGGGATAGGGACAGATGGAGTTTGTCCAGGAAAGATCACTACACTCTAGAACAGCCTTCCCCAATATGGTGGCCTTCAGAGGCATTTGGACTACAACTCCCAGAATTCCCATCCGGCAGGGCCATTGACTGGGAATTCTGGGTGTCGCTGCCCAAGCATGCCTGGAAGGCACCATGTTGGGAGAAGCCACTATCTTTTAATACCAATTCATAATGAAATGAGAGTTTTAGCATGGCAAGCCCTTCATACAGGGTCTTCAGAATGGTGTTGATTTGCTTCCTCCTCCATCAGCCATAGCAAAAAATAATTTGATAAACAATACTGACACAAACAGATACCATTTTTTCTTAATGCAGAGAGAAAATCCATAATTGGGCAATATGAACTAAGTTGTCAAGTTTGCTAACACATCCATAAGCCTAAAAGGTTTTACTAAAAACATGAAGTTCTATATTCAAAAGGGAAGAGAAACATCTGCTGTAGTTGAAATAACACTTTTTAACTTCCAAATGTTTTTGACTACAAGCTTTGGGCTACGTCCAAAGAAGTGAAAGCAAGACCAGCACTCATTTGTGTTGTTCTGCTTAGAGATGGAGACTCTCAAGCCAAGGGCCCAAATTGGCTCTGCCAGCATTCCCCAGATGACCATGCCCCTTTCCCCGGGTCCGCCCTTTTCCCCCTGCCAAGGATCACTAGGTGGTTTCCTGGCTTTTCTGCAATTTTTCTCACATTCTGAAGTCAAAATGCCTCCCCTAAGGCTCCATTGCTGGCATAAAGAGCTTTGGGCTACAATATGCTTTTATTTTTGTCCACATCCCTTTTGTCTTCGGCCTTCGAGCCTATACAGCACTGCAGCGCAATGCGCACTCAAAAACCACGCCAAACCAGAATTCAGCTCTCAGGCTGAAGTTCTCCATCCCTGTGTTAACTTTTGCACAAGGGCGATGTGAAGGCTTTGCTTAACAAGGTACCTGGGGCAGCATCCAGGATGCTCTCAATAAAAAGTGTTTAACTAGAGTGTTTGTAGCTCCCCACTGGAACACAAATCCTAATTGCTTTCCTACTGGACCATGTTTAGCACAGCCACTTTAATCCCACACGCAAATGCTGCTTTTCAGTGGTGTCTGCATTCAAGCAATTTGTCTGTGCTTTCCTGTGTGGAAGGGCAGGACTCTCGGCCGTTTTGGCTTGCTTGTCCAAGAGTTGCATAACACTGCCCTGAAAGTGATACACTTGACAGGGGTCGTGCTTTCTTTTTGGTCCCTAATTAAAATCTGTATTTGCCCATTGCATTTTAAACATCCAGATGTAGAGCCTGAAGCAGTCTAAACTGATTTTGGATAATTGTTTGATGGTTGTTCTTCTGCATCTTGTTCAATACATTATGTTATTTTATGATACTGTGCCTGGGACTAGGACAATATCACTGCCCCAAGAAGTCTGACCCACAGAGTGCCTGGATATAAGGTGGCAATTGATAAGCTGGACAGCTGATGGTACTTGCACAATGGCCATTGCCTGTTAGTCACTAGTATGAGCTACTAGTTATATGCCTGCATGGAGAAGGGACTGAGGCCAAGTGTTGGGCGGGGGACACAGCAGAGGATGACTTTAGAAATTTAACATAGATCATAAGCAGCAAACTGGTCTGTTTTGTAGCTAGCTGACAAAAGTGAATCTTGGGGAGATTGCTTATATTGCTTTTCATGGCTTTTACCCATGTTTTGCCACTGAATTTGTGAGCTGGGAAGGTCAAACCTTAGATTTCTGGTCTTTGCAGGGCCTGATACAATCCAATATCATTATATTAACTACGAACACAGATGTGTGTGGGATCTGAAAGGGGTGCAAGAACGTCCTTTTGGTTAGGGTAGTACCAAACAAAAGGTTTCCACCATATAAGGCTCAAAAGGCGATCACTTATAAAAAAGATACCTGCTAAACTAGTAAGGCTGTCTGAGGAAGTTTTACAAATAGCTGAGGAAAGAAGGGAAGCGAAAGGCAAGGGAGAAAGAGAAAGATACAAACAATTGAATGCAGAATTCCAGAGAATTGCTAGAAGAGATAAGAATGCCTTCTTAAATGAACAGTGCAAAGAAATAGAAGAAAACAATAGAATAGGGAGGACCAGAGATCTCTTCAGGAAAACTGGAGATATGAAGGGAACATTTCATGCAAAGATGGGCATGATAAAGGACCAAAATGGCAGGGACCTAACAGAGGCAGAAGAGATTAAGAAGAGTTGGCAAGATTACACAGAGGAACTGTACAAGAAAGATCTTAACGTCCCTGATAAGTACGACGGGGTGGTCACTGACCTTGAGCCAGACAACCTGGAATGTGAAGTCAAATGGGCCTTAGGAAGTCTGAGCAACAACAAAGCTAGTGGAGGTGACAGTATTCCAGCCGAGCTATTCAAAATCTTAAAAGACGATGCAGTAAAAGTGCTACACTCAATATGCCAGCAAACTTGGAAAGCTCAACAGTGGCCACAGGACTGGAAAAGGTCAGTTTACATTCCAATCCCCAAGAAGGGCAATGCCAAAGAATGTTCAAACTACCGCACCATTGAACGCATTTCACATGCTAGCAAAGTTATGCTCAAAATCCTACAAGCTAGGCTCCAGCAGTATGTGGACCGAGAACTACCAGAAGTACAGGCAGGATTTAGAAGGGGGAGAGGAACTAGAGATCAAATTGCCAACACATGCTGGATCATGGGGAAAGCTAGAAAAGGAGTTCCAGAAAAACATCTGCTTATGCTAAAGCCTTTGATTGTGTGGATCACAACAAATTGTGGCAAGCTCTTAGAGATGGGAGTACCAGACCATCTTATTTGTCTCTTGAGAAACCTATATGTGGGTCAAGAAGCAACAGTGAGAACTGGACACGGAACCACTGATTGGTTCAAAATTGAGAAAGGAATTCAGCAAGGCTGTATACTGTTGCCCTGCCTATTTAACTTATATGCAGAGCACATCATGAGAAAGGCGGGGCTGGATGAATCACCAGTTGGAATTAAGATTGCTGGGAGAAATATCAACAACCTCAGATATGCAGATGATACCACTCTTATGGCAGAAAGTGAAGAGGAACTAAAGAGCCTCTTGATGCGGGTGAAGGAGGAGAGTGCAAAAGTTGGCTTGAAACTCAACATTAAGAAAACTAAGATCATGGCATCCGGTCCTCTCACTTCCTGGCAAATAGATGGGAAGAAATGGAGGTAGTGACAGATTTTATTTTCCTGGGCTCCAAGATCACCGCAGACGGGAACTGCAGCCAAGAAATTAAAAGACGCTGACAAACTAGTAAGTTAGAACTTGGAACCCATGTTCTACATGATGAGGTTTATGATCATGCCAAATGTCAAATTAAGTCAATTAAGATCAGAAAAATAAAGATTTCTGGAAATAACCACATGTATTCCTTTTATTCCCATTTTTAAACAGAAATATATTTCTACTGTTTGTACAAACTAGTAAGCACTTTATTCAAGGGTTATCAAATAAGGAAATTATTCATTAGTTAAGTTCTGTGACATAATTCAAAGTTGAGTAATATTTTCTTGCTCCATTAAAGCAGAGTACTAGCAGAGTTACAAAGAGCACCCTAAGTTTCACAATAAAGCTAGAATTCTGCTGGAACTACAGTGTTTTCTGCATCTACATTGCAGAGGGAATTTACTGCCACCTATTCATAACGGCTATTTCTATGGAATGTGACCTCTCAGGGTGACACTGCATGTTACTACACAGGTTGGGATCCTAGTGGGGGGTTTTGATGCTTTATCGCCTACTGTGGTCCTGGTCAGGTCTCCTGTACTTGCAATTTACCCAGTTAAAGGTGATCAAGCTGAAATATTGTGCAGGCATGGACCTCCACAATCTGCAGAGGGAGCAAAATGGAGGAATAAACTTCCCCTCTCCCTTACCAGGGTCCTTCTCCTCATCAGGTTCCCTAGATTTGAGGGAGAAAGTCATAGCTACTACCTACAGTCTAATTCCTCTAGCAATACAATGAGGTGCAGATGCTTTGTCCAGATCCTGTATTGCCTTTACAAGTTAGAAATCTTTGCTGCTCCCAGGCACTCCATTCTCCCCATGAGGATTTGGGCATGAAAGATGAAGAGCAACTATGGTACAAGAAGGGTACAAGCAAGCACAATTTGTGACACAGCACCACCACTGAGCACAAGGTATTTCTGTTAATACATCAACCTGACCTTCCAGTTTGCTGAATTTGTAGGGCTTAAGTTGACATGACTTGCTTTAATTCTGATCTTGAACCAATCTTACCACCCCCCCATACATACACACACACCCATTAGTTGTCCAGATCAGTAGTATGTGTTGGTTGATAAGCAGTATACACAACAGATGAACTTTTACAGACGCTCCAGTAAAATGTTCATCTTTCCTATATATAAACATCGTTGCCCAAAAAGTGATTACTTTGGTTTTGCAAGCAACAAGATTGTAAGTTTGATTGAACACTGATTGGCAACAATAAAGTTTAGGGCAGGGGAATCTCAGAAAAACCTTTTGAAGGTTTTCCAGTTTAATTATAACTGTAGGCATACTAGTCATATGGATTCCAAAATTACTTCAAAGATAACACAGTATTCAAGAAGAAAACCATCAATTACTAGGAAACATTCCAAGGTTTATGTTGGCAATTGAATTAGCAGAAGACAACTAAACGTTCAGAGAACAACTAGATAATATTTCCAGCAAAGAAAATGGCTGAAACATCAAAACAGAATTGGGTGAGAATTCCTAAGAAATGAACTGGAAAACATTCACCACCTGAAGAGAACCAGCCGGCTGCTAGCCACAAGAAGAGTCTACCAGAGACAACACAAAGCCAAAGACAGAGTAGCTGAAATGGGCATCAGCATCTCCTCCAATATTTAGCAAATCACATTCCCCTCCACTACCCCATGTTATACAGCTGATAGTTCAGCAACAGCCTTAGAGCACTAGCAGGGAAACGGCTGCTCTTCTTTCTCAAACAACAGTAATAATGCAAAGCACAATTATTTTAGCTGGTCAAAGAGGGAACATCTAATTTGCGTTTATGAAACACTGACTCCATTATTTTCTTGGTGTGTAACTGCTCAAGTCATTTATCCAGATGGCCTGAAGGATTTCTCTGAAAACGGGTAATGGCCTAGGATCGAATGCAGAGTTAGGCATGCTTAAGCCCAGTATAATCATGTCAGGCAATTCAGTACTTCTAAATGCTGTTGCCATAGCACTGACCTCTGGACATAGGATAACTCATGACATGATGGAGTGAGTGAAGTTCCAAGGGTTATTTGTGCTCCACATAAGTGTATCAGATTGTAGCATTTAAGAACATGACCTTGAAAAAGAAGTTTTCACTAATTCCTCCCAGGATTCTTATATAACCAAAGCATGTTTTGATTTACTGTTAACCATTTAATGGGTGACTTAACTCCCAATGCACTTGTTCAGACCCTCTGGTTTGTTTCTCAGGACTGTTACAGAAATATATTCCTTACCCAGTGACTGGGTTCATACCATTTGGGAAGAAAAAGAGGCCACAGTGGCATCTTTTCCCCTCACCATGTGTTCCAGTCACAAGCCACCTCATTTCCACAATCAGCCACACAGGGCATGGACGGCCATGTTGTCCAGATCCTGCCAGGGTAGGCAGTGGGCATGACTTCCGAACCACCCTGGAAACCTAGAACAAACCATGGAGTGTAAAATAATTTGGAAACTGCCCACCTTGCTGGGTTTGGACAACACGTAGCAACCCACACCTCACCAGGTAATTATCAAAATGAGGCAGTGTGCAGGTTTTTTCTTCCCTGATTGTGTGAATCTGATCATGGAAACAGAGAGCAGGCAGATACGACAGCTGCAGGGCTCAAGACCTGGAAGCCACAAGGAAACCCAAAATCTACAGATTCACATTTATTATAGCTAAAGGCTGTTTCATCATTCTGAAGGAATGCTTTTGAGAGGGGTAATCAGAGTTATACACCATCCAAACAATGAATGGCACAAAGCTCAGGGCAACTTAGAAAGGCTTAGAAAGGGCGTTCAGATTGGGGAGGCTGCGTTACACTGTCAAGCTGTCCTTCATCGACCTTGTACTGCTGAAGAACATGAGCAAATGGGGGATTTCTTATAAAGTGCAGTAGCGTCGATTAAGGATGTGCAAGCTCTCTTGGGGGCTGGAATCCTTTGGCTTCCCTAAGCTCCATCCCCTGGACTCTGATCCATTTTGCAGTGGCCGAGCCTGCCAGAGTTGGTGAAGCGCTTGCCAGGAATTGAGTCCCACGCCACCACCAGCTGCAGCAAGCAGAGGAGGTCAGTTGCCATGAAGGGTGCCTGGCACATGTTCTCACAGCACTGCTCTTCTGCACCAGTCGCTGGCCATAGTGGAAGAGGAAGGTCAGACACCATGAATGGTGCCTGGCAAGCACTACAGTGATGGCACAGAAAAACGGTGCTGTGAGTGCGGATGCCAGGAGGTTTGGGGGGTGGCAACAAGAGAAAAGGCCTTCTCAGTGGTGGCACCCCAACTGTGGGATATGCTTCCCACTGAAGTCAACCTGGCACCAACATAAATATTTTTCAGTGCCAAGTATTTCCAAGCATTTGGCAGCATATATGAAGGTTTTTAACCAGTCCTGGGATCGTTGGTGAGTGTTTTAAAGGTGTTTTATATATAAAAGGTTTTATAATGTATTTTAAAGGTTTTAATCTTTTGTAAACTGCCGAGAGGGCTCTGGTCACTGGGTGGTGGAAAATATACTAAATCATCATCAATTTTCTGAATGGGCCTCTTGGAGGGGCTCAGTTAAGCAAAGATGAGGAAGCTCTATTGTGGGCTACAGCTCAGGTGATTGTATCAAACCAAAGATTTATGTTGTAAATCACTTGGAGCTGAAAATAATTGTGAAGCTAATAAAATGAATAAATAGCTAGGCAGGCCAGTGGCATTCTTTTAAATTAAGGGGGCGTGCAATAAAGTGTAAAATTTCATATATGCCTCTTTAATTTGATATGCTCAGTTGAACATGGTCACTTATGGCAATTTTTCCCCTTACCCCACCCTCCCATGTTCTTGGTTTGTTCAGGTCTTCAGAACATGCAATATTTACATGTTAAATTCTAAGTTTTGATTCAGTAAAAGGCACAGTGCACACCTTCATATGCTTTCACAGAATTACCTTCAGAAGTAAAATTATACAGAGTTTAAAGAAAAAACAATGGTCTGTACACTGCTGTAGTTTTTCTAACATTTCTCATAGGTGTCCAGTTTGCAGCAGGGTATATTTTGAAATAAAAGTTTCCACGTCTTCTCCCTGCAATATTTTCATAGCTCTCCAGTGAATACTGCCACAGTTCTCCGGTTTACCTTGGAAATGACTCAGCTCTTCTTTGATGTAATCCAGCCAAAGATCTTCAAATGAAAAGACGGCTAGTTAATACCATGATAATGGAAATGCGACAGGATGGGAGGTCCCCATCTGTCAAAAATTTAGCCACATGTGATCCTGTGTATCTGACTGGGGACTCAAGGATTCTGTAACCAAAAAATATTTTTGCAGAATTCCAACCTAAGTGGAAAAGGCTAGCAAGTGCCATGGTACCTGTGGTTGCTTCTTTGGAGGCTTAAGTACTTTGTAGCAAGAAAGGGGAAGGGGCAGCTGCTCCCCACCACCTCATCTTCCTCAGTTAACTGAACTGGATAGCCTACGCGTCATTTTGTAGGCAAAGCTTGGCAGGGAAGGTGGATCTGCTGTTCAGGAAGTAATCACACATCCTTTAACAATTGGCCTTGAAGTATTGAGAAAATTGTATCAGCATCATAAAATGCTGTTTATTTGAATAAGGACGTTTACATCAGTGAAAAAGTCAGACTGCATGAGTGAGAAGAAGCAGCTTTTAGGGTATTAAAGTTGCAATATATGCTGAAGCTGCTTTGAGCCAAAGTCTGCAGCACATGACTTACTGCCTTTCCACCACTTCTGTACCTGGATGGTCACCATTGTCATGGCTTCATAGCCAGACACATGGTAGCCGGAGCTCCTCTCCAGCCTGGTGCTCTCCACATGTTTTAAACTACATCTCACATCATCCCTGATCATTGGCCATGCTGGACAGGGTCAGTGGAAGTTGTAGTCCAAAACATCTGAGGGTACCAAGCTGGGAAAAGTGTGGGAAGCCCCCATACCTGAAGCAGGAAAAAGGCCTTACCAGGGTTGGTGGCACCAAACTCTCTTAAAGCACGTTCATAATATTCTCGGATATTCAACATATTAGAGGATTCCTTTAAAAAAAGAAGACAAGTGGGTAACTTAGCAAATTGAACTTCCTACTGTGCTACCAAAGATTACTGCCAAGAAACACATTTGCCATATGGCCCAATCATCTATACTTCTGTGAAGTATCAGGCATTCCATGTACATAAAATGATAACTCATGTTCATTGCCCTTTGTCGGCAGAATAATTTCCATGAATTTATGAAGGAAGGAGAAGAATCTGTAGCAGGCCTAGCCAACAGCTTATGAGGAGTTTTCTCCCTGAAGGCCCCCAATGACAAGAGCTTTCCCCTGCTTCGCCCACTGCCCTATGCTCCTGAGTGCTCCTTCAACCCATTCTTCAATCTCAGCCAATTACCAGACCCGCTAAACAAGTTCTCTTCTTCATTGTCCCTCAAGTCCACACTCACAGAAAACAGAGGGTATAAGAAAATGAGAAATCCCCCAGCGAATCATTCAATGTACATTTAGGCCAGATCACCCAAGGTGCTGATGCTCTGATGCTGCAACTAAGAAACGGCTTGCATGGATTCCTGACAAATGGGCCTGATATTTGGAGGAAGCGGGAGGGTAGGATAGAACAGGCCATACAAAAGAGCCGCTCCCGATGATCTTAGTGGACAAGCTGGATCGCATTCTCTTGGGTATCTTCTTAAGACAGCTAAGGTTTGGAAGCAGCCCCAGACAAGCAACAGGGCATCAATACACAACATATGCTCCAAGCTGCAGCATTATGAATGTTATACTTTCCAGATGGCTGCTGAAGGAGGCTGAGCAAGTTGCAGTGGCCAAAACATAACCAGGTATTACAGTGTATGAACTACTGCATCCTTCAGAAATTTCACCTTGGCATTATGTTGCTGAAGATCAAGGATGCAATATGAAATCAGCAGGCCCTTTGAAAAGGTTAAACACTTACTTGCTCCTTTTCAATTTGAATCATCTTCTTGAAGAACTCAAGTGAAAATGGACGGCTTTCATGCAAACTAGGACATAAAAAGATGTGTAAGGAATGTATTTTTTAAAAAACAACTGTGTGGAGAGGGAAAACATCTAGCATTTTATAAAAAGGTTTTCTAACCTGGTAAAGACTTTTTTTGCGCCCTTGTACCCATGAGTCCTATAAGCCCATTCAAGATATTTTTCTTTCATGATCACGGAGTCATTGGGAAGTGTCACAAGCAAAGATTTCTGCAAGTTAAAGACAAATCTTTATATTCTAAGCTAAACCCAAAGAGAGGGGCCTGTTGAAGCAAAGGTATCCATTTTGATGCAAGCAAAATATTTCAACTCAGACTAAGATCTAAAGACTCAGATAGGACTGGAAGTCTGTACATATGCCAAATGGCTAACATATCATATTTCTATCATATTTTCCTATGTATTTTGCAGTTTGTAATTCAACTTGTCAATCAATACATTTATATCTAGACATAGTGCACATGACTGAATTTATGGTACCCTGTACATGGGATGCTATTTGTGATATGCATGCATATTTTATTCTTTGGTACTATTGTCTCCAGTCATCTGTCTTTTTTCTTGCTTCTTCTAATTGCACCTACCTTCTCTGCTCAGCCTGGATTGCTTTCTTTTCCCATCTATTTACCAAGAAACAAATCTCAAAGCCCATGTTTGCAGCAAGGTATTTTCTATACCTTTGAGTATTTTGGTTGTCAGAACAATTTTGCAGTTGTGACACTATGCAATCTTACCAACCTTCCCGAAGTCCTTCTCCCCATTTAAGTCTCTTTCCCGGAAATTACAAGGTCCTGGCTTGTGATCTCATTCTTTGTTTACTCCATGTAGTACACAGCACAACTTCAGTGCTACAATTAAGGTCTGAAGTAGCAGCAGAATTATTCCCATTTGCTTTCCTGAATATTTCTTGGTTTAAATGCTGTCTTGTACCTGATAGAGTGCCTCTGTTTCAGCCTTGCTGTTAACACTCTCGCTCCATTCTACCCATAAAATCCAAAGCGGTAAGCTATCCTAGGTGGAGGAAAAGCCAGATAAGAAAAATTAGGACAAGAAAGTACTGAACGTGAGTTACACTGAACACACACGTCAGCCACCACCAATGTTTTGACACTTCTGGAGTGCAGTATGCCAGGCCACCTACATGACTAATATGCAGCAGATTATTAAGACTCCATCAAAAGTTTTAAAAAAAGAATTGTGACAAAATTAATGGGCCTCCCTCCTATCGAAGGCAGACCCAACAGGGAGATCGTTGAACAAAAGGATAACATAAAAGGCTTAGGAAAAAACAAAACAAGGCGTTTTGTTTTTGAGGATGCGTGTGAGCAGGAGAGGCTCACTGTTACGGCTGCGTGGGCTGGTCTGCTAGCTCTTGGTAGTCCATGGCAAAAAGTTCGCCACTCCCCACAATTCTGTTCTATTCCCAAGTGACCCTCACCTAGGGCAGGCAGCAAATGATAAAGATGAGCCAAATCATGTTTTTGGCCACAGCCCCTTTCATCACGTGTGCACACACAGGTTTTGTCCTGCCATGGCTGGGACAATCCACTGCCAGCATCACTGCAGAGCCACTGAGGAGCAACAGGCCTGAGCCTCCACAACATGTGCGAATGTGGCTTATCAAGTAGCAGAGGAGAAATGTGCCTCTGCTGTGGCAACACAGAATGTGGCTCCGGATTCTAGTTACTGACCTTTGCTTTAAGCACTTTAAAAGCTTCCTGAAAACAAGACGATATGCCCTCGTGGTTCAGCTTGAGTAGCAACTGCAGCCTCATTTCCCACATTTCGACAGACTGGCTGAATCGTTCAGTTGCTGCAGCAGCTACCTCTTTGGCCTTCTCCTGAAGGTCAAGCTTCAGTAAAACCTGAAGCTGCCAGTGCAATTCAAAGAGAAGATGTTAAGCATTAATTTCGAATCAAAAATTCCAGCTTTCCCAGTTTATGTGATGTGCATCTTTTGAAATGGCAAAGGCCACATGCATCCTTACCCATGGTTTATAGTGTGAAGCCGGCAGCAACTGCAAATCATGAGCTCGAGTGAAAACACTCAGGAGCCTTTCCAGCCTCTAGAACAGGAAAGAGAAATGGAAAGGATCAACTTCACTGCTGACCCCATGAAAAGAAAATGGGACTTTTGAAAGCCATGCACATGAAGGTGGCATCAGCAGACCTGGACAACCCTGATGTTTGCTGAAAGTGGGAGACTATACGGAGGACAGAAATGTAAAATTACCCCAGTGATAACCTAAGGCACTATATGCTGAGTGGGGACAAAATGCTGACTGACAACAGAAGGGGAACATGGGGACTCAAAGGGAATACCCTGGAAATGTGCAAGGCAAGCTGGAGCACTTTTAGCACATGAGTGTCTAGCAGAGAGGAGAAATTTATCCTGTACTCCAAAACAACTGAGCACAGATATCTACAATCACTCCACAACCTGAAAAAATGTTCAATGCAGTTATCATAGCCTCATGGGTGAATCAGACATTTGCTTATTCTTTTAAAGCCCACACATTTACATCAAAGGTTTAGAAACTAACCCTTATGAGCTGGAAGGCACTTAGGCTAGTTTTGCAGTTTCCTGCACCTGTTCATTGATCTAACAAGAAACCACACTAAGACTGTCCACATATGTTTGCTATCATGTTTTTTATGAACATCTACCCTCCATTTTCTACTAAAAGCCCACATATCACACAGAGCCTTTCAATCCTGTTGATTTTGGAAAGGAGTAAGCCATTTTGCAAGCTATACTTAGAAAATCAGAAGGCAACCTGGTAAGCCAACTGAGACTGCTTAACACACACATACACATGCCCACACACCCCCCAAATCACATTGAACACATTATTAAAATAACTTCAGCTTCAGTAGCAATAAAAAGAACAGGAAGATGGACAAGCTTATAACTGCACCACATTACAAGCCAGAGAGAGCCTGGGCCGGTGTGGGTTTGAAATGTACCACATTTTCTTCCTCCTCAAGTGTAGAGGTTTTTCTAAAGGGTGGGTGCTGCCACCGAGAAGTCCCAGGTTTGAGATATTATGGGCTGACATTCTGTTGATCACATTAACAACCAGCCAGGCCTCCTCTGATAACTTGGGAATATATAAGGGAAGGCAGTGTACTAGGTATCCCATTCACAGTTGATCAGGGCTTCGTATGACACTAGAGTAACCTTCAACACTTACCAGCGGCTAAGAAGTGGCAGCCAGTGCCATTCTTTTAGTACAGACCTTACGTGGGGATAGCCGAGTGTCCCCGGGAGCTGCTACATTTTGCACTAGATGCAGTTCTGGACCCAGGCCCAAGGGCAGCCCCAGAAAGAGTGCACTCATGGCATCACAAGGGTACCAGTGCACGGATCACTGTGGTTAGCATGCTCCTATCCATGAATTGGCATATATCAACATAATTTGATTGAAAGAGCACAATTATCAGGAATATTAACATTTCAAAGGTTTTTGCAATGGCACCTTCTGCAAAAACAGATGTAGCCAGGAATGACAGCATCCAAATAATTAAGGGAGGAAGTGTGTTAAGAATGTTTTCATGCTGCATTGTAGCCTCCATCCTGATGAACGTCCCAGTAAAGGTCCTCTAGGAATTAGTAGTGGAAAAATGTAGTATTCTGAAGCTAAGAAATTTACCTTCTGCCTTAACACTTCACTGTTGGTCTTCCGATTAAATCTTTCCAAGGAGAATGTGATGTAGCATTTCCACATTTCCTCTGAAGAGATAAAAACATTTTTTTTTATGTTTAAGAATGGCAGTTACACCTCCCCTCCCCACCCAATCCCCTTAAACTCACACAACACAGCTTTTCTCACATCGGGGACAGGCCCATCCACTAAGGAATCTCAATTAAAGCAACAATCTGAAACACCATCACCACACTCGTACACCAAAAAACTAGCATGTCAGAGAGACAGTAGGTCAGCATCCTTTTCCATGAAATCTAATTTTCTACTGGCATGGTTGTTCTTGCTCATCACAAATCGATATTCTATCATACGAGGTCCCATCTGTCATCTGAGATGATAGGAGAACTGTGGTTTCTCAGAACTAAACCTCAGCATATTACAACTCTAGTTTTCCTTAAAACCACTGGCTTACCTCAACTGTAGAGATCCCCCCTCCTTTTTTTGGCTTAAAAAACCACCACCACTGTCCCATGAGAGCAAGGTAATATGCCCAAGTAGGTAGGACATTCTGGATAAACGCTAGGAAACAGTGCCGGCTCACTGCTCTCAAGTCTGAGGTTTCATAATGAAATCATACTACAAAACCGGGGGGTGGGGGGGAGACAGTCATCTTTAAGCAGTCGGGCACGATGTCTCACCTGTGGGAAGAGCCACAACTGCCTCTTCAAACACTGTGCAACACTGCTCTTCTCTGCAGGCCATGTCCAGCGCCTTCGACTGTTTCGACATGTGATCTGATGAAGGCAGGAGTTCCATCTCCAGCTTCTGCCGCGCCATGTAGTTCCACACAAGAGCATCGTTGGCATACTCTGCCTGCAAGCTAGCGGAAAAACCCATATGTGTGTCTTGCCCTCTTGCTCTGAAGCTCTGCAGTAACAGAGCACTCGTGCTCCAGGCAAACAAATCATAACAGACAAGTACACACTGAGAAGCAAATGCCTGGGACAAGACAAGGTGCAGCCATGTCAGATCCGCTGAAGCCTGTCAGCTCACAGCCTGCAGCAGAGGTAACTTATTCTGGCAGTGAGGGGATGCAGCAGACTTCAGACTGCAAGCGGAGAATCCCGTTTGAAAGCTCCCTGACAACAAGCACAACCTCAATATAAAGTAGAAAACTTGCACAACAGGGAGTAGGTTGGACCAGCACCTCTCCTAGCTGTGTTGCTTTTTAAAAAAGTTTACAGGGGAGGAGAGCTGCCGAAGGGAGCACTTTAAAATGACACCCCTCTCTGAGGTTGAGAGTACAGCACATTCTGCTACCAGATTCCGCTGCATGTGTAGCTAGATCAAGCTCCTGTTTCTATGAAAAGGGGACTGGTCCACGTTCAGAAGAATGTCATGCTGGCAACACGATGGGTGTCTTTGGCACACTGAAGTTGCTTTCTCCATCCTGGTGCCCTCCAGATGTAAGACTTCCACTCCTTCCAGTCCCAGCAGGCATAGCCAATGGTCTGGCATGCTGGGAGTCATGGTCCAAACCACGTGAAGGGCACCTCATTAGGGAAGGCTGCTCTAGAGGAGGAGGATAGAAGGAATGAATTACGAGTTAAGCAGGGCCTGCTCCTAACTCACGAGATTTTAGAAGGTTGCACGTGAAACACCAGGGGAACTGATCAAGAGAGAGATTAAAAAGCAGCCCATAGAGTTAATGGCGTACACATGTGGTGAATGGGACAGTCTACAAGTTTCTGTCACTGTGTGCACACTGCACAGCATTACATACTCTAATAGGTAGACTGGATTTTTTAAAGGGAGGTAAGATCTGATAAAGGCTTAGACCAGAAGTGGCCAGAGAGAAAATAATTTTGTGTATTTTCCATCTTAAATCTGCCTTCCTATTCAAGAATCCCATAAAGTTAAAAAAAAAATAGAAGGCATTCAAAACAAGACAATCAAAGCAAAAAATCACTATTACAGTATGGTTTTTTCCCTATACTGAAGCATCACAGCAAACAGCACAAACACCACTTACTCCAACCAGAGCAAAAGCCCACAGTAAGTCACCACACTTTAGCTTGCTTTTCAGGACACAATTAAGAGGCTGCTCCTGTAGGCCTCACATAGGAGAACTTTCCAGAAAAAGATGCACAGGCAAGGGGAAGGGAATCTGTGGTCCTCCTGATGTGGTTGGACTGCAATTCCCATCAGCCACTGCCATCAAGGCCAATTGAGAGGGATGAAGGGGTATGCTACCCAACAATATCTGGGAGGCCTACAATATTCCCTGTCCCCGGCCACAACCAAGTGGGTGCAAATGTGCTTGAATACAGTGGCGGGGGCAGCATCCTTATTCCATATACCTTGAAAATCCTACTGGTTTGGGCACAAGCAGTCTCTAACTTGCTTTTCTGAGTCATGAAACTATCATTATCAGCTCCCAGTACTGCAGGCAAAATATCAAAAACTCCTGAGGAAGGAGACTCTCGCACCGATCTGAAGGCCCACCTTCCACCATACAAGTCTGCCTGAACATTATGATCTTCATCAGAGGATCAGCTGAACTGGGTGGATGACAGCCCGTATTTGGAATACCTTCCTCAGAGAAGCTAATCCAATGCCAACTTCACTATTCTCTGGTGCGATGTGAAGTTTGAGCTGTTGTTTTTAATTTTTCCCCAAGCATGCCAGCATTTCTAATAGCTGTGTTTAAGTGTTGGATGGTTTTGCCAGCCATTTTTAATTGATGCTGTCATTTCTGCATGCCCTGATCACTGTATTTTATTATAGTTTTTACTCCTTTAGTTACATGTCACCAGCATCTTCTTATGCTGAAGAGTGGCTAACCAATTCACTAAATAAAATAAAGCAAAATGCCAATGAAGAAGCACTCTTGCATCTTTGCATTGAGTGGCCCTGTAATTTGGAGCTTGGGGGTGGAGGGACCTCTTTTGAAAAGTGTATCATTAGAATGGAGGTCAGTTACATAATTAATCCCAACCACAACCAGCCTTAAAACTGAACTGTCAGGAGAGGGTTGGAGATAGACCAATAGTGAGACTCATAGTAGAGTTGGAAGAGACCAAGAGGGTTATCGGGATCAACCCCCTGCTCAGTGCAGGACTCCAAGATAAACCATCCTTCTCAGATGACTCTCCAGCTATATCCTGAATGCCTCCAGCGTGGGAGAGCCCACAACCGTCCCTGGTTATTGGGTTCCACTGTCTTATTGCACTAACAGTCAGGAAGTTTCTCCTAATGATCAGCTAGAATCTGACTTCCCGTAACTTCAGTCCCTATTCCATGTTCTGCACTCTGGGATGATCAAGATCATGTCCTTCCTCTTTGTGACAGCCTTTCAAGTACTATCAAGTATCACGAGTGCTATCCTATCTCCCTTCAGTCTTCTCTTCTCAAGGCTGAACACACCCAGTTCTTTCTATCCCTCCTCGCACAGCTTTGTTTCCAGCCCTTGGATCATCCTTGTTGCCTTCCTCTGAACTTGCAAAGAATGTACAAGCCACCAAAGCCATGAAGATAAAAGTTTCTGTGTCACTTTCCCATGCCCACCACAAACTTACTATTCCAGGATTTCTTTTTGAAGGTCTTGCGTAAAATCAAAAAGTTTTGCAATCGACAGCAATGAGAGCAGAAACTCTGCACCTAGGATAGAGGAGGACATGCATTCATGGATGAACTGAGCCTCATCGGCACTTTAAGATATCCATTCACTTTAAGAAATGAAGAGAGTCTACTTTTTTATAGAAAAAATACATAACAGCCATTCAAACTTTTCCTGAAACGTGTATTTCAATGTTTCCCAAGAGGTTGACTAGGATTTGCTTCCCAACGCAATACCTGAATTTTCAATACAGAAAAGTGATAGTGAGTCAGATGACTGGCTCATCAAGCCAAGCATCCCTTCTCTGAGGCTGATGAAACGTGGATACTCCAAGAAGCTCAAAAACTATTTCCCTAGCATGCAGTGAACTGAAATGAGTTGCATCCATTTGCATGACCCCACAAAGGAGGAACAATTCACCCTACACACTAGGAAATATATTGCAAAGTTGCTACTTAAAAACAACAGGTTACCTTTGATTTTCTCGGTGGCATTCTTGTAGACAATTCGAGCAATTTCACCATTAAGGACATCCTCAGAATAATTAAACTCGCCCTACAATTGCAGACAAAAGATCTCTTACAATTATGTTTTCATTTCCTAATCTTTCAGATGTGAAAACATTCATGATTCACAGTCAAAAAGCTGCATGTGACCACATCCTCTCCAGAAGCAGGGAAACCTTCCACATATGATAGCAGGTACACAATATTCCTGGATTTTAAAGAAAACAGAGTCCCTTCTTAAACTGTGTTCTATATGCACACAGGGGAATCCCAGGTGGATGCATGTGCATGTTCATTTAGTCTGGAGACAAGCCCAACCATAAAGCAAACATAGCCCAAAGTGGAAGAAACCATGCCTAAATGATTAATGCTGTTGGAAACAAACACAGCTGTTTTCAGCAAGGGAGGAGGAAAGATAAAAGAAAACAGGTCCCAGGAAACTAGTAGCTTGCCAAAGCCAAATGTATACATCAGCCTTTCTCAGCCTAGTGTTCTCCACATGCATAGGACTACAATTCCAATCAGCTCCAGTGTGCATGGTCATGATGAGGAATGCTGGGGGTTGTAGGCCAAAACATCTGAAAGGCACCAAGTTGGGGAGGACTATTGTGTATATTCTAGGAACACGGTAAGACAGGGACGGTCAGAGATAGGCAGGATAATGGAAACTAATTGAGCTTACTATTACCTTCTACAAGCCCTTGTGATGGGGCAAGTTCTACCTTCAGTGAAGGGAAGGAACCTTTGGGGCAGTCCCTCCCCCATGTTCCTTGGGGCTAGTTAAAACCTCTGTGCCCAGAGAGAAGGCGAAAGAAAAAACAAACAGGCCAGGAAGCTGTGGTCATCAGTGTCTGAAGAGACCATTAATTGGCCTGAGAGAACTCTATTCTTGTGTTTGGGGTTTTGTTTTTTGTTTAACTTGTTTTTGTTTTAAAAATTACTGCAAGCAACCTGGGATGCTATGGCAGAAGGGTAGTATACAGAGGCAGCATTGATGTAGAAATACATAAAAAAGATACCCAGCAAAAATCTAGCATACAAGGCATGGTCCCTGAAAGTATAAACTGAATTAACAAAATGCGAGTCAGTTTTCATCTTGCAAATCGAATAGCCATGTAAGTTACCAAAGCCCCTTCGCAGCATGCCCACAGGTTTCTCAGGCCCTTGACTTTACACTTATACAGGAACTCAGTGAGACAGCACTAGCCAGCAATGCTGGCTCTAGGCATGTGGACGGCCTCTGAGTCCCTCCTGCAAATTAGAGATTTGGAGAATAGCCTAGATGGATGCATTTGCTTTAGCTCCACTACCGGAATGCTGAATGCAGTACCACCATACAGAAACCACTGTATCTAAAACCAGCCCTTCAAATTCTGCAACTTAACCATCTAAGTCATGGGTCCTCAAACTACGGCCCGCAGGCTGGATCTGGCCCACCATGCCCATTTATCTGGTCCGCCATAGCTCGCCACGTCCACTCGCTTGCTTGCAAGATCATTTTGGACTCATTGGGAGAAAATGATCTCTGCGCACGCCCCCCCCCCCCCGCAGTTTGCGTCCCCCACCTGCACCGCCTTGGCGGCCCGCACCCATCCCTGGCACCTTTCAACTGGCCCCCTATTCAAAAAGTTTGAGGACCCTGATCTAAGTGGAGCTGTTGCTGCCACAGACAGGCATTTCCTGTAACAAAGACAGGCCTCTATTTTCTTACCAAGTCCATTTTTGCTTGTTCAAATTCTTTTTTCTCTTTCCTTTGCTTTTCTGCATGCATCAGCTCCATTCTAAAATACTGGAGGAACAAAGAAAGGGGGAAATGAAGTCTAAGCATCCAGCCAACTCAAAGAACACAGCTTCAGACTCCGGTCTAAAGTCCTGATTAAGCAGGACTCTTTCTATGTACTGTGCTTAAGTTTTAACTGGCGTGAACCTGGGCAGAGGGAATCTACAAACCTGCAGCCCACTCCCAGTTCTTAACAATAGTTCAGGGATCTCTGCATGCTATATCTAGACCATCCCAAAAAGACTCAATACTTGTGCATTCATCAAGTTTGTTGTGCTTTCCCCCACTATTGTTCCTGGAAACTGTTGACACCTTCACCCAGTGAAATGTCTTAGCAACATCATTATTATGGACTAACCAGCACAAACTTGATTATTTCATGGCAACAGAAGTTGCTAATGATAAATACAAACAGGGCTTTTTTTGTCATCGAATGCACCGGAATGGTGTTCTGGCACCTTTCTTTCCAATGGATTTTACGAAGTGATTTTGAATCGCCTGTTGGCGTAGCAGGTCAGCAGCAAACATCATTAACATAGTGTCTGCAGGCTGCTTTTGTGTCCGCGCCGCCCGGCTTGGGACGCTGCTCGGCTTGGGATTGGTGTGTGTGGTTGCGCGCCGCCGGCGATGTGAGTTCCGGCACCTTTTTTTTTTTTACAAAAAAAGCACAGGATAAAAGCAACCTGAGGCATTACAGACCATGTAAGTGAAGCATACTAAAATCTTAAGAATGAGCTCTGCTACTTGCTCCAATTGCAGTTCAGCATTCTTTTAACAAAGATTCATTTGAAGCTGCCTAATTTTCAGGATATGAAGAAATGCACACCATGTGCTTCGCAGGTTCCATTGCTGACCTTGCTTTCTTGCCCATGGTAAAAAATACCACTGAATATTTTTCCAGGAAGGCAGATTAAGTTATTCAAGCCCACCACACTTAGCTTTAAGACTGTGGATGAAAAAAGGGCCTCACACAGTCACCCTGGAACATATTAACAAGGCATAAATATAAAATCAGCTACATTTGCCACTGAAGATGGAAAAAAGAATATTTTGCAGTCCAACATGCATTTTAAGCAGGGAGCAGCAGAGTCACACATGTTACCTCTTGATAAAGTTTGGGACACTCTGGGTGGAAACGCAATGCACGGAGGAACAACTGCCGGGCACTTTCAGATGACAGGCGGTCCTCCATTTCCCATTTGGCAGCCATGATCCACAAAGCTGCAACAGAAAAGTATGTTATTTAATATGACCACTAAAAAAATCAGCTGGCATGGAAATTGTCAATCCAAATACAGGCAGTATACAGGTTACAAATGAGCTCCATTCCTGAGAAAGTGGAAATTCATCTCTAAGTCAGATTTGTATGTTGGCTCACATATAGTCGGCCCTCCACATTCATGGGGTGTCATAGGTGCAGGACCCCTATGAAAATGGAAAAACTGCAAATATCTCTAGCAGCTCCCCCCCCGCCCCCCCCCCCCCCACAAACTCACCAGTGCCTCCTCTTTGCAACAAGTAAATGCCAGAGATTTCCCTCTCTGGATGGGCAGGAAGGCCTGCTTTGGAGGCCTCCCTCTCCCCCTTCTGCTTCCTCTCTCTCTCTATGCTAATTATGATTTTCCACAGTGATGTTAAAAATGAATAGGTTTTCTGGCAGTTAGTTTGTAAGTATGGGTTGTTCATAACTTGGATGTTTGTAACTGAGGAACTGCCTGTAGTAATACTAAGACTGTATTGTGCTACTGAGGTGTACAATTCACAGGCTTTAGGCTTACCTGCAGCCCCACAGGTGTCCTTCCCAGTGATCCTGATACAATCACTTTGCCCACTACTGCTAGCAGCAAGGAAAGAGCAATTTGTGTGAGGATCTCTGAAATGTGCACATTTGTGTGCAGTTTTGCATGTACCAAGCTATCAGATGCAGTCCTGGCAGCTGAAGCATGTGCACTTCTTTGCTGTACCAGTGGTACTATCTCGGGACAAAATTATACATCAAAAAGAAGAAATCCTTTTCCTGTTTATATCACATGCCATGCATCTTGGTTTTCTAATGCCTGGAAGGCATTCATGTGTTTTGAAAAACATACAGCAACTAATCTGCAAAATCTACAATTAGTCAAGGATCCTCATGTGCATGTCCATTTCATTTTTGGACAAGCAATTGCCATTCAAAGGCATTGAATAGACTTCTGTGTATATTCCAGTACTGAGACTACTTTGAAGGAACACCAGATAAGTGTTGAGTGATAAACATATGAAAGGACAAATCCTGATTGTGCTTCAACTACAAACAAAAACCCACCTACTAGATAAATGGACGGAAAGGGCTGACTCACAGAGTCATGAAAAGAGAATGGAAGACTGAAACAGGAACTCCTCTTCCCTGCCACTCTTTCAACAAGATTATCACAAAGTTTTAGGCAGAAAAGGTGTGGCTAATCAACAGTGCCAACCAGGGACCAACCTTTGCAGAAAATGTATCACAACATTTACATATGTGTAATCACAATCATACAGAGCCAACCTGCTCCATTAGTTTAAACTACTATATCCTGCTCGCTTTGATGACAAGCAAGAATTGGCTACTGTACCTGGTTTGTTTGGATGAAGGGCTAACATAGAAGAAAACACCTTGCTCAGCTGTATTTTCCTGTTCTGTTAGGAAACACAAGATATAATTTATACATTGTTCACTTTTCGACTAGCAAGAGAATTACTTTCATTGCACAGGATTGCTTATACCACTGTTTTGCCATACTACAAAGTAAAACTTATGCATGCACAAACAGATCTACCATGTTTGTTCCACCAGCGGAAGGATAACACTTGTGGACACGATTTTTCCATTCTCTCCTCCTCTCTGTGAACCCTTCAAATCTCCTCTGGGTTGCGGGCACCTCCAAAAAAGATTTGGAAGGTGCATACAGAGAATTACAGAAGGGAAAATCCCATTCAGCAAGGGGTATCCTTCCACTAGCAAATTTTAATCCTGAATCCAACACCTACAGTGCAACTTATATTTTAGTACCTGCATTTTCCATAATATAAACATGACCAGGTGGTAGAACAATAAAACCCAAATAACAGCACAACTACAGAAGAACCTCATGTACAAGCAAGGCAAAAAACATCGGTAGTCCCCCAGAAAAACAAAGCCAACTTTTTGATTGATAGAGTGATAAGAGACCATCAGGGAAAATTCACACACCCATTTTTGAAACACCTTTTAACCTTCATATAATGACAACACTCCAGCAACTTGATATAACTTCCAGGCTTACCAGGGCAGTAAAGAGAGAAACACTTCCAAAGAAGAGAGAAATCAAGTGGCCTTTTCACCTCTCTAACCAATTCCTTTGGGTGCTTTGCCCATCAGTAACTGCCGAAAACTCAGTCACATATACTAATTCATGAAAAAGAGATCCATCAGTAAGCTATGGAGCATATCAAAAGCAAAAGCAAGTTCAGTCATTTCAATAGAGTTGTTTCAAATTAATCCTAATGCCACGAGTGCATTCAGTGACTCCCTTAAAAGAAATTTCAATGACCTATCAGCCTATTAGCTTGCATGAGAAAATTATACTCAGGTACTCACCCATTTTTTGCAAAACGCAACATGGGACAACCACAGCTGAACATCATCCTAGTGAGATTAATCAAGGGTGGGGGGAGGGAGAGACGGAGTCAGTTGAAAACACAAATAATGCTCATGCAACACAGAGGTCCTTTCCATAACTAACAGCAAGAAAAGCATCAGAAGTAAAAGATGTGGGGGTCTCCACCCAAGAGTTAGATAAAGAAGCATTCAATACAACTGTTTTAAAACTGAAAAGTACATGTTATAATTGCAAACTGGCTCCTTCTTGAATCAAGACCTTAAGCAACATTATGAAGGCTCCTACATGTTAGCTCTTGATCTTGGCCACAGTCCCACAAGATAAACCAGAACATGATACTTTTCCAAACCATGCTCAGATGGAATTAGTTCCTATATTTGGGGCAGTCCACTAAAACGTCTCACTGTGAGCCCCCCAATTTTCTCCTTAGCCTTCTAAGTAACAGGCAACTAAATTTTCAATGAAAACAAGGCACCAAGTGGAATGTACCCAGTTATCCAGTAGACTTAACACATTCAGGGCAAAATAAACTGTTTATAGAGCATTTATTAATTGTAATAGTAGATTTTAACAACAGATTGAAGAGATTCAGCAGGGCAGGCATCAACTGGAGAAGCAAAGCCATCAAGAGCAGGGCCTGGGAGATCACAAAGGGGATCATGCAAGCACCATGCTCCTACTACTGCCCGTCTTCAGGGCACTGTTGGTTTCTTAACATTCACCATTCTTCTGTCCTCATTGCCTGTAAATATCTGCATTTTGTATCACTTAGTTTCATATTCCTACAGTTAGGTAAATTTCATTTACATTTAACACAAATGGAAATTAAGCTGAAAGATGACAAGTCACACAAGATTCAAGAGCAGAAATTATATATCTCTCGGGCACCCTCTCATTTCATCTAGAGTGCTTGCCGGATGCAAACATCTCTTTATAACAGATCAAATATAATAATGTATCTGATTATTTGAAGCAAGGATGAGAACACCTGACTCTCCCAGTATTGAATTACAAATCCCTTCACCCGACAACTGGCCATGCTGGCTGGCTGGGGATGATGGATGCTGGAAGCTGATGGAAGTCCAACATCACCTGGAGAACCAAAGAGTCTCTTGCTCTTGAGGTAAAGCTTGAAACCAAGGTAATTAAATAAGTTCTAAGACCATCCTATGAAATTTAAGTCACCATAGGTTAGACAGAAAAAGGTCTACAACTCCCAGCACACCCCTGCCAGCATGGCTTATTATATTAATGATGCACAGAAATCCATTGCTCAGAAACTAGAAACCAGATGGGAACAGAAATCATCATGCTTTCATTTATATATTTCACTAACTGGTCCCATAAGATGTTATATAGAATCCCCATATTCTATAGAATAAAATGGGCTTACTTTCCATTTTGTTGTAGCACGTTTGAAAATGCCATCAATCCTTTGCAAAATCGAATACTCAATCTCATCTTTCTTAAATGAGTAACCAATGCGCTAAGGGGAAGGAAAACACAATGATCAACTTTGCAGTCCCTGAAAATTCCCTCACTTGAAACCTTTTCAAGTTTCAGTTGTTTGTCAACTTACCGATCTTCTTTTCTTAATCAGTTCCAATAGATTGATTTCATACTGATAAAGAAAAAAATGTAGAAGATAAACAATACTATAAAGACAGCAAATCTGAGGCCAGCCAACCCAAGCCATTTATATAAATGTACGGTAACAGGTAAAACAGGTAACAACAGGAGGCTGCCTCTAATATAAAGTACATTAATCAAGAACCCAACAAGGGATTAACTACCCAATTTCCAATCATCCTAGATGCCAAAAGTAATTTCATCTTCTGCATATCAATCCCTCTAGAACTGAAACAGTGCCATCTATATACAAGAGTGGTATTGACATGCTCGGTGAATTCCCAAGGCTTGAAGAAGTAAAAATAATCTTTAAATATCCCCACCCAGCCCAATGAACCCTGAGAATGTTCACCGCTCTTTGGTTGAGGTAGATGAAAAACAAGGGTAATGGCAGAAGAGAGTATCCCAAAGGTGCCAAGGCAAGCACACTGAGCAGGACCACTCTTCACTGCAGCGCTTCGTTGCAAGTGGCTCCTGATCATATTACTAATTTTATCACTACAGCTTCCTCCAAAGCATGGAAGAGCTATGCGTACCGGCTCATGTTACTATTCGGTTCCTTCCCCTCCCTGAAGTGCTTCTTACCACCAGCCGTTCCATCTGGATGGAGCACCTTTAATGCAATGTACATAAGATTTAATGTACAACTGACGATAGGCTGTGCTATGCCTTTTATGTCAGCATGGTTCTGTTTGGTCATTCGTTTCTAATAATATTTTCAATGCTGTTATAGTAATGTCTTAGTATCTATTGTTTCTTTACTTGATTGAATTTTTTTACTTGTAACCTGCCCAGGAAGAATGATGGCTTAATGGGGAAGGATAAAAAGCCAATAAATAAATAAATAAATAGATAGATAAATTTAATTAATTTAATTTAAACATTTCTATGCCGTCCTTTGCAACAAGCCTCAGGACAGCTTACAGAAGATAAAAATAGCAATATAAATACCATTAAAACATTCAACAATAATACAACATAAACAACAACTCAGCTATATTATATTGTAAGCCATCCAGAGACGACAGTGATGGACGGCCTATAAAGGTCCGAAAGAAAGAAAGAAAGAAAGAAAGAAAGAAAGAAAGAAAGAGAAAGAGAGAAAGAATTGTGACTGTATAAAATTAATATTACTATTAAAATTGTTGATATTATTAAAATGATGGTTAAATAAAAAGGTCTTTACCTGGCACCAAAAAGATTAGAGAGTCGGTGCCAGGTGGGAGTGGTTCCCATAGCAAAGACCAGGTAGAGCATTAGAGCACTTGTTTTGCATGCAAACAGTCCCAAGTTCAATCCCTAGCATCCCCCAGTAAGGTGAAGGATATACTGAAGAGAGACCCTGGAAAGCTGCTGCCAGTTCACACAGGCCACCTGGTCTCAACCTGGGGCTCTCCAGATGGGTTGGGGAAAAGCTGGCTCAGCCACTATTAAGCAATATGACCAATGGTCTAAGGCCATTTCTTATAAGAGACCTCTGACATTCTTCTAAGTCCACTGGAAGTATTGTGCTTATATATTAAGCACAGCTATGTTTATCCATAGAAGTGGGATTTAATTAATTATATTTAAATCCCATCTTTTTTCTTTAGGCAGGTTGTGCTGAAAGTCTATGACTGGCCCAAAGTCACCCAATTAGCTCTCCTAAGCCCCAGTGCCACACTCTTAACTGCACTGGCTCTTCAGTGTGAGAGATGTAGGGCAGGTATCATATCTTAAAAGCAGGACGTAACAGACTCAGGAGATATACCTGAACCTACATGACACACCATGCATTAACCACCAAAGACTGCTTTCTGGCATTATGATATTGGTTCACATGTAAGAGAGCCAAAACATAATGCAATTCATATATGAAAAAAACACAAATTAAATAATAGATATTACATTTATTTTATTTTTATACCATTCAATAGCTCAAAGCTCCGTGGGGAGATAACAAAAAGTAAAAAAAAATTAAAAATATAAACAAAGAGAAAAATACAATAAACCAATAAAAACACAGCAGTTGCAATCAAATCAGTACAGAGGTATAGGAGCAGTACAAAAATACAGCATAAAAACTAAGATTAAAATATTATTAAAATAATGGGCAAATAAAGGTTTTCACCTGAAACTGAAAACAGTAGAGAATAGGTACCAGGTGCACCTCTTTGGGAGCTCATTCCAGAGCCAGGGTGCCACAACCAAAAAGGCCCTTCTCCTGGTGGCCACGTTCTTTATTTCCTTTGGAGGGGACTCCCAGAGAAGAATCCTCAAAGAAGATCTCAAGGGTATGGGTAGTTACATAAGAAATGAGGCATTTTTTCATATAACATGGTCCCAAGTTGTTTAGGGCATTAAATGTTAATACTTTTATATTTTATATTTTTATTTATTTTATATTGTTAATTTTAATTTTATATTGTTATTTTTGTATTTTATTGTATTTTATTGTGTTTGTAAGCCGCCCCGAGGCTTTGGCAAGGGGCGGCATAGAAATGTTCTAATAATAATAATAATAATAATAATAATAATAATAATAATAATAATAATGATAATTCTAGCACTTTGAATCAGGCCTGGACTTCAACCAAGAGCAAGTGCAGCTAAAAGAGGACTGGCATAATATGGTCTCAAAGTTCTTATGAACACTCTTGCTGCCCTGTTTTGGATCAGCTGAAGTTTCTGGACCATTTTCAGAGGCAGCCCCATGGACAGTGTATTGCAGTAATCCAAACAAGAGGTTACCAGAGCATGAATTACCATTGCTAGGCTCTGTCTGTCCAAATAGGGTTGTATCTGATATAGCAGCTTAAGCTGATAAAAGGTGCTTCATACCTAATGAGTCCACCTGCAACTCAAGTGACAGCTCTGCATTGAGGAACACCTCCAAACTAAGAGCCTTGCCCTTCAGGGGGAGTGCAATCCCATCCAGAACAGGTTGGATATCACCCACTTGGACAGACTGACCCACCAACAGCACCTCTGTCCTGTCTGGATTCAGTCTGTCTATTGGCCCTCATCCAGTCCATTAACAGGCCCAGACATTGGTTCCAAACTGCCACTGCCTCACCTGGGTCTGATGAAAAAGAGAGGTTGAGCTGAGTGTCATCTGCATATTGATGACACCTCAACTCATACATCCGGAGAGCATCTACATGAAACGCAGGGGAGGCAAAACAGACCCCTGTGCCCATGGCATAACTGCCATGGCACAGAGCAATAACCTTCTAGTACCACCTTGTGGAACTGGCCAATCAGGTAGAAGCAGAACCACTGCAGTGCAGTTCCTCCTACTCCTACCCAATCAGACATGGTTGATGATATTGAAAGTTGCTGAAAGGTTCAGAAGAATGAACAGGGTTGGACAGGGTTGCACTCTTGCTGTCTTTCACCTGGCAAAGGTCATCTTACAGGATGACCAAGGTAGCTTCCCTTCTAAAACCAGGCCTGAAGCCTGATTAGAATGGATCTAAATGGTCTGTTTCATCCAAGAGTGCTTGGAGCTGTTCAGTCACCATCTACTCAAGCACTTTGCCCAGGAAGGGAATATGAGCCACAAGCCTGTAATTGTTAACATTCTATGGGTCCAGATTAGGCTTTTTCAGGAGTGGTTTAACTGCAACCCCTTTGAAAGAGGCTGGCACCACTCTCTCAAGGAGGCCTTCAAAGCCTCCTGGACCCAAGAAAAAATCCCTTCCTTAATTCTTGTAATAAACCATGAGGGGCAAGGGTTGAGCAGGCAGGTGGTGGGCCAAACTTGACCAAGCATCTTGTCCATATCCTCAGGCCTCAATAACTGAAGCTCATCCAGTAAAACTAGACCAGAAGGTGTTGCAGAATTCCATCAATTGTGGTGCCCAATTCATGACAAATCCAAGGGACTTTATCTTCATAATGCTGTGCAAATTCATCACAGTGAGCTACCAAGGGTTCCACAGTTTCTTTCTCAGGCCGGGATTGCAGAACGCCATGAACGACTCAAAAGAATCTGCTGGATGGCACTGAGAAATTGTAATGCTGGTGGAAAAGAACCTCTTTGCCACCCTCACTGTCACAGAGCAGGCTTGATCACAAGCTCTAAAAGCTCTTTCATATCTAGACTTGAAAGCATATAATAATACATTTGATTTCCACTACCTGAATATAACTGATAAAATCTTCTTTATGAAGTGCTCTCCGTTGAATTTTATATTCAAGGGCTGAGGTCTTCTTAATAACTGCCCTACAGAAATGTAAAACAAGGCAACATCCCTTTAATGCGCTGGCAGCACATATTTTTTTAAAAAAGAAACCATTGATTTGGGCTAAACTTTGGCATATATCATTCTATATTCATATCTTATAGATTTTTAGCAAAATTTATAGGCTGCCCTATACAGCATTTTCTTAGGTTGGTTCACAGGGCAAACAAAAACAAGATAAATCAGTAATAAGCAGCAAACATGATAAAATATAATGTATCATTAAGAATCAAATGGTAGTTACTATTTTAAAATACTGATTTACTTCCTTCTCTATATTGAAATAATTTTTCAATTCATCCCCTTTTTCCAATGAGCTGGGCCCAATGTTCAGAGTTTCAGATGTTTACACTACAAAAAAATTCTGACAGGAAAGAGGGAATTTATATACCCTTATAATGAATATAGTATGATTCTTACTACTCTTAGAATAACCTGCAATGCAATATGGTTTTCCTACAGCAATTTCCTGCCAGAGGCTAGTCTATCCACAAAACTCTATGATTGTAGTTTGCAACTAGTTTTCTTTCAGGCAGCAGCACAAACTGAGCCGAACGCTAAATTAAGCCATTTATTTATTATTAATTTATTAAAACATTTTTATGCCGCCCCATTCGCCGAAGCCTCGGGGCGGCTTACAACGTTAAGCCATGGTTTTGTAAAGGTCATTTTTCATGTACGTGATAAACCAACTAAACTTAGGATATCAGCTGCAACACAGCCAAAAGCTCTTAGGTAAAAGCAGATGTTATATAGCAATAATCACAACACAAGGCAAACAGAAAAGCATTAGTTTTGGAACATGTACATTGAACATTCCAATCAGCGTTAATAGCTGAGACACTGGAACGAGGGGATGCAGTTATTACTTAAAACCCCTTCAATTAATTTAGAAATGTGTAGTCGTACATATCTACTCTAGTGGGTTTATTAATAAATTCTTTTCTGAGCCAACGTCCAAGCTGCAAAAGAACTGATCTGCAACGCATTTTTCCTCCCGGCTCCCACCAATCCAGCATTACTCCTGTTTGCATCGATCCTGTAGCAAACACCCAACGCCCAGGCTCGCTCACCTGATTTCTTTGCGAGTGAAGAGTCCAACCCTCTCCAGCTGCTCTAGTTCGGGGATCCGGTCCTCAATGCGCTGCTCGATTCTCTCCGCCATGACGGAAAGACGCGCTCAGCGGAACCCTGCGCCGCTCAAGCAACACGCGTGGGGAAGCCCCGCCCCCTTCCGGTAACAAGGGCACGACCAAGACGGGCAGCCACGGCCTCTCGCTCGCTAGTTTCCATCTGCTGCCACCCTGCGGCCCCCAGAGGAACTGCAGCTTTTCGCTTGGTCAGGAAAGGGTAATCTGGCCACACGTTTGCAAACCGTCACGTACGATTTTTTAAATTTATTTAAAATTTTTGTATCCCGCCCTTTACAGTGGTTACTGTTCGTGATTTTTGGTAAGGAACTAATAGTAGCTATTACTACGAGTAGCTAATATTGGATACAACACAATGGAAACAGCCTTTTGTCATTGAACCATCAAATTCAGGACTACACTGCTCAGTGCCTCTCCTAGGTTTCAGACTGGGATCTTTCCCAGTCCTGAAGATATAGTGGAGTGAATCTGGTCACTTCTGGAAACAGGCATGTGCTTTATCACTGACCTATGGCCCTTCCCTCAGTTGGCAGGGGAGGAGTCTCAATTATTGCTCCTCTGTCCTTTAAGTATCTTCTAATATCCCTGCAGTGGGAAAGGCTTCCAGAAGTCCCCCTCACCCCTAGTGGTCCAAGTATTTAAAACTGGATTTCTATACCTGCAGCCTGAAGTGGTAAGTTGTACGGTCTCATTCTACAGCAGGTGTAGACCATGGCCAAACTTCACCCCCACTGAGTTCAATGATTCTTACACCAAGATAAAAGGGTGTACAGGACTGCAGCCTTAAGAACATAAAGCAACCGGAATCTGCCCTAGGATTCATCTAGTTCAGCATTGTGTTCACACACAGGCAAACCAGCTATCTATGGCAAGCCCATAACCAGGACATAAGTGCAACAGCACTCTCCACTTGTGGTTGGAGGTAACATCAAGCCTTCATGGCGTACCCTCCATGCACTTGTCTAAACCTCTTTCAAATCTATCCAGATTAGTGGCTGCCACTCTATCTTGGGATAGGAAATTATGCATAAATGTATGGTATTCAAGTATGTGACAAGTACTTCCTTTTACTTATCCTGAGTCTACCACCATTCAGCTTCATGGGATGAAGCCTGTTTCTAATATTGTGGAAAAGAAGGTCTCCCTATTCACCATCTCTACACCGTACATAATTCTGAACATTTCAACCATGTCTTCCCTTACTTGCTTTTTTCTAAACTCAACAGTTCCGTATGTCAAAACTTTTCCTAACATAGTTGTTGCTCCAGCCTTTCAAACATTTTGGTTGCCCTTTTTTGCATCTTTCCAACACTTTGCCACAAAGAGTAGGAACACTAGTAAGCTTCATTAGAGATTTATCCTCCTCTTTGGGAAGGACTTTGAGTCAGAAGTCAGGGCAGGTAACCTGGAATAAACAAATATGGGCTCACCGAGTCTGTTTTGGGAACACTAGAAAAGTGGCTCTTGTCCCATGACCCAAAAGACCTCAGAGATATGATATGGCTCAGATTGAGCCAGTCCGAGTTCTCTAGAACTTTGTGTCAAAACCTATTTTTACTAGCAAGAGTTACTTCTATGATAAATGTAAATGATGTAGTAGAACTTAAGCCTATTTGGAAGGAACATTCCTATTTGGAAGGAACATTGTCTGGCTTGCTACTAGCTAGATATATTGAAGGTGGGTTCTGGTTGCTGAAGTTTATAGTACAACACACTTTTAATGGAGGAAAGTTTCACTGAACACTTTTAAGATGTATAGAATCCAGCTGCAGATGCTGTGGGAAAAACACTCTGAAGAAAACTATAAAAAACTATAAAAAACAAAAAACTATAGTTAAAATTATATGTTGCAGAATTGAGTCCAGGCTCAAGCTTGGCACATGAAACCTGCATCTATAACAACATCCATGCTAAGTCAGATCAATGGGCTATCCAGTCGAGCACTCCATTCGTACATTGGCAAACGAACTGCTCACAGGATCCATTGAGTAGAATAGGTACAAATGTTCCACCTGCCCAATCTCCTCAGCAACTGGTTTATGTAGGCATATTGCCTCTGATAACAGAGGCAGCACACAGCCAACAAGGCTGGTAGCCAATTAAGCCCATGCAGAAAAATGATTTTGCCCTAAGATAACTCATTCCTGTTAACATGGTTAAATAGAAACAGAGAGAGGTGTATGTTTAACTGTAAAGATAAAAGGCCTTCCTGTTCAATTTGATCCATTAATGAGTCCATGTGCTCCAAACTGATATGGGGAACAGGGGAGGCAATTACTCAGTTCCTCATCTTTAAGAGCCTTTTCACAGAAAACAGGTTGTATCGGGTGTTAACGCACTTTTCAACTCATGCAGTGGTACTACGGTCATGTTGAGAATGGTTGCTTCTCCAGGTCACTAGAGGCTTCAAAAGAAGGTTTTATACATTTTAATGAATCCGGACTGCAAAACGTTAGGTACATAAAGATGTGGCCACAGGAAAGGCTTTCTACACATCCCAACAGTGCATCACCGGAGGCAGGAAAGCTATGATATCAGTACATTCACTTCCCCTTTTGCCACCATCTGATTACATTGTACTTCCTTCTGAAGACATCTAAAGGACCTTTCCATAGACTTTTTTCCTGCCAACGTATCCTTTTAGGTTGTGGCATGAATCTGAAGTGTTCTGTTACTGTAGTACCACATAACAGAAACATAGCAACAGAGTGAGTCAGAAGGGGCCTCCCGGGCCATCTAGTCTGACCCCTGGCTCCAGCCGGCTCTGCTCACGACATGATACATTCCCCCATAACTGTAGATCCGGTGGCTTCAAAGTTCTGTCAGTAAAGACATCTGCTTTCTGGTACAAGATGTGTTCTTCTGAGCGCCCACTCATCTGGAATACATATACCTGAAGTATGCATTAATATTTGCTACTGTACTGTTCAGCCACCTGCAAAGATACAATGACCCGTTGCCATGTACAACAGCTGCATGAAATACTTCTCCCTGTAGTTATATAAAATGTCCAGGAGCATCCTTGACTACAAAACCACAACTATATTTTTATTAGAGTAAAAGAACCCTAACCCATAAAAAACAATAGCAATAAATACTGTGGTAATCTTACTACATCAACACATTTGTCTCCGAGTTGCCACAAATTTGCTTGTGATTTTTGATGCAGCAGTCTAATACAGCACTCCTCTAAAAATAGGAATTAATGGATGACATTGCTAGAATATCATGGATGTCATTTTGCTCCTAAGTGTGACAGTTCAAAGTACACTTAGGTTGTAACTCTATGCTTGCTTACTTGAGGAAAAAGACCCACTGTGTGCTGATTTACTTATGAGTTAATAGGCCTAGAACTGAACTGGAAGCAAGAGAGGACATGAGTTGCCTAGCAACCACTGAGTTCTGCCTCTTTACCCAGAAAAATAATTATATATACAGTCTGGTCAGCTTCAGTGAAGAGACCCTGGAGGCAGAACCAATAAGAAAACCATCAAAATACCAATGTGAGCCTCTTTCCCTCCAGGCGAAGAGCAGCAGAGATTTTTCAGCTATTATCATCCAGTTTCAGATGCCCAGTATTGCAGCTTAGCAAAACCAATTTATACAAACACCAATAAAAGTGAGTATAAGAACCGTTCACATTCACCGTGAAAAGAAAAAACTCTGAGGCAAATCTTGGGAATGGAACAGCAGCTTCCGTTTCTCTTGTGTTAACATGCTAAACATGAAATTAACCCTGGTTTGATGGACAAGATGAACAAACATTGTATGATTCATATTCCTACAGGTGCATGCCTTCTGCAAGTAGGAACAGAAAACAGTAGATTGTCCTTGTTTCTTTTTTTTAATTCTCTAAAAATGCTGGTTTATTCACAGGCTTTTGACATATTCATATGCTGGCCACAGAAGAGCAAAGTTGTATGGCAATGCTGGTCAACTGACCATTAAAAGCTGTTGTTAAAAACTGTCAGAGTCTTATAACAGTCACAACTGATACAGCCATATGCGCAAAGCTGAATCTGCCCTTTATGACCCACAGCCGTTAGGCTTAAAGCAGAACAAAAAGAGAAAAGGCAGTGTACAGTAAAACAATGGAATCCCAAAGTTTTTCTGTGTTGGGTGTCCTTAAAGTCATGTTGCTAAAAATACACAAACACACCAAGATAATTAAAATGCTGAGACAAACTAGTCTGTGATGTTATGTGACTGGTCTAAGTCCAACTAAGAGCTTAAAAACCTTGTATTTCCAAGTTAAATATAACCTCATGCAATAATAGCCCAACACAGGAATCCTTAGAACAATTAATATTATGGACTGTCAAACATATTCAGGCCAAAGTAACAAATGCAGCACATGGCAGGCAAGCAAAGACCAGACCTACAAGAACCAGTACACAGCAGATTTGGGATGCAAATCAAAATGCATCCTGACATGTCCTTTGTTGTTTCCCCCTTCAGAAAATCTACTTTAAATGCTTTCCGTATGCCCTTTTTGCAAGCTTATCCTTTGAATGAATCACAGAAAATTAGAAAATAATGATCCATTACAAATGTTGGGGAGACTGGGTCTCAGGAATGTTACTGGTGGAAGGAGACCCATAACTGCCTCTCATACTTTGTTGCTGCTGCAATCTTTTAATTATATCTTTGTTTAAGAGCAATTTGCCCTTGAGCTAACATTTCAAATACTGTGCGGCACTTTGATCCTTATGGTATTAATTTCTTAAAAGTCACCTCATGGTACAATGAGTTTTAAAGTCAGTCAAATGCTGCTAGCTCCTATCAACGCATGGGACAATGATCACAGAAAATATGCATTGTCATGTTTATCTCTATCAGACTAAATACCTTAAATGTGACAGAGTATATTGCATTTTAAATGGCTCACAAAACTTGAACTCTCAAGCTATTTTTCCCTCTAAGAGAATATTGGTAGTCCAATACTCTAAAGCAATCCCATGGAAAGACTTGCATTGTTGTCCCTTCTTTTTGTTTGTAACATGGAGGGCTGTTACACCATCCTCCCCCGAGGAGAAACATCTCTATTCCAAATGTAATGTCTGGCCAGCCATGATATACCTCTCAGACTATCTCAGTTACTGATACAGAAGAGGACATAGCAGATATCCTCTGAATCTGA